ACGAAAACTCCCAAATCCCTTTCATCAGTGGCATGCGGTAGTATTTGGTTCCCCAGAACATAGGAGAAACGAGTCTTATGCCACATGTAAATAACTGTGTATTTGAAAACGTTGAACTCGATGTCATTGGCGATTGACCATCGGTGGGCTGCATCGATCGTTTGTTGGAGTGCTATATAATCCTCAGGATGTGCTACAGTTCTCCAGATCTTAGCGTCGTCCGCAAATAGCAATGTATTAGGTCCAAGGACATGTGGCAGGTCGTTTTTAAATGCCAGAAATAGACGACGCCCCAGTACGGATTCTTGCGGAACCCACATCGGGTAGCGGTGATAAGCTCTGATGATGAATCACCAACACGAACTGACATGGTCCTTTGTCGGAGAAACTCTTTGATCCAATCCAGAACCAAACCTCTTAGTCCGTGGTTGTAGAGTTTTCGCAGCGGTATTTGGTGGTTTACTCGATCAAATGCCTTGAAGTCCAAATAAACTATATCCAATGGCTAGAGTACATCGACGGATTTTGTCCACACATCCCGTGCAAGAAGTAGATTTGTGGTGCACGAACGCTTGTGCCGAAATCCGTGCTGAGTTGGAGACAAAAGCTCATTCTTCTCCAGGTATTCCATCAACAGATCTGCCACAATAGCTTCCATGACTTTCGACAATATCGGAAGAAGTGTAACGGGGTGGTAGTTGGCGGGATCACTGCGAGATTCCCCATTTGTACATGGGGGAAATCACCTCTTCCTTCAATGACTTCGGACTTACTGCCTGGTTGAACATCCTTTGGTAAAGAACAGACAGAGGAAATGTTATTGGCTAGCAACATCAGAGTCCGGGGATGCATGTTGTCTGCTCCTGGGGATGAATTCTTACGCTGTTAGTAGGTTTGCTCTAACCTTCTCACTGTCAAAAGCCATGTTATCCAGTGACGGATACGGCATACAGGGTAGTTTACTTGGAATCTGTAATGCTTCGTGTGTCGTTGCAGTAAACACCTGATCAAACTGTTTTTTTGAGGAACTCTGCTTCTTCTAGAGTAGAGGTTGAAACATGACCAGACGATCTCAATGCTGGTATTCCGCATTTCACCTTCCTTGTAGAGTTGATATGTTTATAAAGCAATTTTGGATCAGAAATGAATTTTTGAGCTAGGGTTTCTTGGTACATCAATTTGTCATCTCGTACAAACTTGGTACACTGATTTCGCAGTAAGGAATAATTATTCCAAGTTTCGATAGATGGACAACTTCTGTACTCCCGCCAGGAAAAGTTCCTTTGCTCTATCCATTTCTTTGTTGGGCTGCGAATGAATGAATGACGAGCTTTAGATTTAGAACAAGTTTTTATACTTGTTACAGCCGTTACAATATCGGTAAGATAATCCGTAAGGCTCTTCCATGCCACCAAAGGATCCTGATCGTCTTCTGGGAGGATCCCTTGCTTAAGTAAGGCCAGGTTTTGCAGCTTTTTATAGTCTATGATGGCACGAGTACAGCTCTTTCGGTTTTCTTGGGTAGAGGCGTAGCCTACATGATCAAACTTCAATACGGCATGATCACTACGTCCTAGTGAAGACGTGACTTTGACAGATTCTACCATCAGCTCCTCGTTAGTTAGCACTAAATCTAGTGTTGATGGTACTTGACTTGCTCCAAATCTGGTGGATTCTGTAGCATGGTTGTATATTGGGTGCAATCCAATGCAATGAACTGAGACAATTGCCTCTCGAATGGCTGGCGGGAAGTCCTCGTTCTGATGAGATTGGGGCAGTTAAAGTCACCCATTATGAGGACATGGGTGAACTTCACTGATAATGCATTCCTCATGGTTTACAACAAAACCTCGTTGGCTGAGTCAGAAGATGCGGGAGGTCGGTACACAACACCGATTAGACACCTATCGTTTCTGGAGAGTCTTACTAAACACCATAACGAATCGGGGGCTGCGCCGGGAATATCAAGCTGTTCACACTGAATTGTTTCGATGATAAAGCAGCACTCCACCGCCTCGTGTCGGACGATCACGTCTGAGCAGCGAAATTCCAGATAGAAGCAATTCCGAGTCGAGAATGTCGGTGGTCAGCCACGTTTCAGTAACGGCAACAATGTCAAATCGATTAGTTTCCCAACGAATTTCCATCTCGGAGAATTCGCTAAGGTAACCTCGTGCATTGGTATAAAACATGAAAGATATCGTCGGCAAAGAAATCTATCTGAGTATGTGGTGGTGTTTCTGCCGACCAACTTGGGGTCGGCTAACATTGGTTTTTCGTAGGATTGGCTTCGTCGGTGCTGCTTGGTGAACGTGAAGTGATAAAAGCTGAACTGGTCGAGGAAGGTGGTGTGTTAGTATCGGTTTCCGTTTTCGGACTTTGCTGGGATCCAGTATTATGTGATGGTCTTAGGCGTAATTCCGGCGGACCCCTTTTTCTATTATCCTTCCACGACTGCAATACGAAGTTGGCCATTTCTAGCGTTCCGAGGGTCACTCATTATCCTCGGGCCGTTCCCGTGGTAGTTAGGTGAGCTGGGTAGACGACTAATTGCCGTAGTAAGAATCTGGGTACAATTAATTAGTTCTCGAATGAAACTCCATTCCTTGCAATCGTTTTGTTGGATCGTCCAGTTGAGGGACTCCATGAATTGGAACAATCCGTTTGTTCTCCGATTGCCGTGCGTTTGTTGGGTTAGTGCGGTATTGTGTACGCTCCATCCAGGACCTATCTAGAAGTATTCTTGTTCTACACGAATCTTTCTTAAGAAGGTAACTAGAGAGAAGAACGTTTTCCAGGTCCTTCTTGTCTGCAAATGTTACGCGGGCTTTCCAGTATGCGGCGAAATAGCCGCACGATTCCAACTGTGTGAATGTCGATGGCCATTTGGTTACATAAATCAGCCCAGCGATCAAGCTCCTCTACTTGTTTCTCCCTCAGTGTATTTTTTGTGGGCTCTGGTACTTTGGCGCAAATAACTGTCATTTCGGGATTGTTAATTTCCTTTTTGTATCTTCTGCACTGGATTGTGCTCCTAGATAATCTGAGCTTTAGGTTCAATGATTGGTGCCGACTCTTGATCTCTGGCATTATCCTGTACTGACTTTGCTTCGCCGTCGAGTTCGAGACGGGGTATTGGCAACCCTGTAGTAGGGCTCTTTAGAGAACATTGAGGTGTTTTTGTGGGTCTATGAACTGGACTGGGAGGGTCGACCTGAGCGCTCAAAGCAGTTATCCTTCCTTCCAGTAAAGTGATTTTCTTCTTTCGCTTTTTGCTCCGCTACCGATAGTAACCTTTCAAACTTTTCTGTCATATGTTTCATACGATTTTCTGAGCAATCGTTACAAAACCACAAACTGTATGGCTGGATCATAGTCGTTTGGTCGACAGTTTTGCGCACGACGGATGAAAGTACTTTAGACAGTGATTGCAGGCTATGCCCAACTTGACGTCCTTTCCGCACGTCAACAAACCACATTCTTCTAATCCTTGTGTTGCACTTGTGTCAGTCCCAGTCATACTGCGACGGACTATTTTGACCCTCTACGAACCGGGTGGTCAAGCTAAGACCTGGCATGAGGGTATGAAAACCCTAACCAGGAGACTGGGTCACACAGATGCTGTTAGGCTCCCTAGCTAGGGACCTCGGGATGATCGTAACCGATGGTTAGAGACACTAAGTGATATGGCTGGATGTCGCAACCAGTGGCGTTCTTGCATCTTCTCAATCTCTTTACAACCTCAGACCACTGAAATTCTCCATTTTCTGTTCGACTCTACCTTCAACTTTCCTTTGTTCTCCTATTCTTCATCCAAATGGGCAGCCAAAAGACAGCAACCAAAACCGGCGCACGATAATGCTTGGTTAGTGGTTGTTCAAACTGAACTGAACCGGGAGACAGTAGACGAATGACAAAGGTCAAATTCTGATCGGCTGGTTGGCGGTTGTGGTCAACTGGTGCGTATCGATCGATGCGGTCGGCGATGGAGAAACAGACACGTGCGTACGAGGATAACAATGACACAAATATATTCCACAAATTGATCCGTAGCTTTCTTGCAAATGTGCACAGAGAGCCGATTAGCAACTCGTTGAGTAGAGTGGGAAATATCTTTACAATGGTATCACAATAGTGCTGGTGCGAAGAACAAAAACTTTTGCGCTCGTAGATATTTCCGTTAATTCTGTTGAAGTCGAAAATACGACCAAATAGCTTGGATACAGGAATTCATATCCAAAAGATGTCTATCAGAAGACAGAGCTGGTGAAATAGTGTAAGATGAACCCAAGCTCGATGCTGTAGGAATCGTTTTGGCGAAGTAAATGCACAATAACCGAGAAGACAAATGGACCGTCCGCTCGTCAGCACAATACACGATTTAGTTTTCTCTCACATTCACTGTTTCTATAACTTTATCATACATCCTCTTCACTCTAGTTCAAGTGGTATACACATTTGGCCAATTGACCTCGACCCTATTTTCATTTTCTAGACCATATCTGTCTTGTCTGGAGTTGTATACATCATTTAAAAACACTGCACAGTCATCAAGGCGAATTATCGTCAGTGGTTTACCGTCTGCACTCCCATCATACTCTAGCCGTCTGGGGGGTCTCCCGTCTTTTTATGTTTGCTTTTGAGTAAGGGGAATTTGTAGTATCGCTGATCATTGTTCACACCAGATATGGAATACTGACACATCACTTGTTTCGGATTCCATGTTTTCCGGTACGTTTACAGTCGACTGTACAAGACGAAAATGGAATTGGAAGTGTTGCGGTACGCTAACCGCATCAGCAGTGCGGCCCATCGCCACCTGATGCGTTGTGTCAAACCGGGAATGCACGAATTCGAGGCGGAAAGCATCTTTTTACACTACTGTTACTTTCATGGCGGCATGCGTCACGTGGCGTACACGTGTATTGGAGCCAGGTACGTGTTCTTCCTGACTCTTCTCGCTGCAATTTCAGGGGAAAATTATTGAGGACATACGCAAATGAATGTTGTTGCGAATTGCACAGCTTATATTCTATTTGGTGCCTGTTATTGTGTTCAAGGTTCATTCGGTTGACCTTGGTCGAATCCCGTATCTGTTTATCTTTCACTTCACTTTCTCACGCAGTGGATGCAATTGTGCTGTCCTTCATTACGGTCATGCGGGATCTCCGAACGAGCGTCTGATGCGAGACGGAGACATGTGCCTGTTTGATATGGGTGGGGAATACTATTGCTACACATCAGATATCACCTGTTCTTATCCGGTTAATGGACGATTCACGGAAGATCAGAAAATTGTCTACGAGGCCGTGCTCGCAGCGTCCAGGTAAGCGTTCCTCTCTGTTTGATGTTACTAATCTTCCTTTTTTATTGACTCGATTAATCTTCATGGTCTTTCAATCCATCCTTTCTTGCTATTTACTTATCAGAGCCGTTTTAAAAGAAGCAAAACCGGGAGCCAATTGGGTCGAGTTGCATTTGCTGGCGGAACGACAAATCCTGTCTCGCTTGACACAAGCCGGATTGCTTCGTGGTGATTTGGAGAAAATGATGGAAGTGCGACTCGGCGCTGTATTCATGCCTCATGGATTGGGTCATTTCATAGGATGTGATGTGCACGACGTTGGTGGCTACACCTTGGTATGTCCAGTTGACCAACAACAACCCTGTCACAGTCCATCCACTTGTTGTTTCCTCGTAACACACATCTTTCCTGGACTGATTTAGATCAGTGTAGATACGTGTACTTAATCCATATCACCATGTGGTGAATGTAAGCTGTTTCATCTTCCCAGTAAGGATGTGGGAAAATTTACAAATTTAACTTCCAACGTGCTGTTTATTATTCTATTCATATGCTTATTTAGTCGTCGATCTGAAACGGCCCAGGTGCCAATTCTGTAGAAAAAAGGAAACAGTTACAAATAGGTCAGAGGGAATGTTTGTGTCGTGGGCCGTTGTGTTAGTTTGTCGTCCAGGTCAGAGTAAAGGGTATGCATATAGAAATATTGCCCTGAATCTGAGCAATTTACATTTCTGATAATGGACACTTGATTTCGTTTTGTTTACTGTCACACACAGGATTCCCCGACACGACCAGCCGCGGTAGGATTGCGCAATTTGCGCACGGCTCGCATTCTGGAACCGAACATGGTAATCACCGTGGAACCTGGGTGCTATTTCATAGATCAACTATTAGACGAGGCATTGCAATCGCCCCAAATGAGTCCATTTCTCATCCCCGAAGTGTTGCAACGATTCCGAAAGTTTGGCGGAGTAAGTGATCGTTTTTTTTCGCGAAATTGATTTCATTTTTTGAAGGTGATGGACATGAATGGATGGACCTGGTTTTACGGTCCTTTCATATTCGGTGCTCAAAAGTTTAACCTTTCTGGCAAAACCAGAATTACATTTTACAGTTGGAAAAAGATGAAACCAGTGATGTGATAGACGATTTGTCTGTTCAGATCAATATCATCAATCCCACATCACTACTCACAAGTAGCTGTAAGTTAACTGTGAACGGTCACTTTGTTTGAGGAGGCGGCCGTCAATTCACGTGACCGGCAGTAGAGAACAGCAGGAGTTTAGACCGCAAAAGCGTTTTTATAAATAGGAGAAAAATCACTTGATTAAGGGTTGGCAACTATGATCAGGTTACAGATATAGCGTTGTGTACAAACGGGAAGAAGAGTAAGGCTCCATTGTGGTTACCTATATCTGTTACATACTGCTTTAGGAGCCCACATGCAGATCATAGGACGTTTTTCTTTTTATAAAGGTTATTGTACCATGATTTGTTTGGTACAGTCTGGTGTCAGACCTGTGTGAAATGTAATAATTAGAAGCAGACATGGAGTTCCCTCCATTTTTGTCTTAACCTGCTGCATACGTAATCGCGACCAACCCAGAGGTGCGAATTTGCTATTCCACTACTGCGTAGCCGCAAACTAATTTCACCAAATTTATCATAAATCTCTAATCTCATCCCCGGTGATTTTAACTTTGATATGATGTGTGCTTTTTGGAGGATGTTCGTGACGCTATCGAATGAGTCAGTTTAGAAGCCTGAAGTGAAAACTGTAAGACATCAATATAGTGTATGTCTGTAGCAAAATGCTCACGATTCAGTGCACTAGGAACCATAAAGTCAACGTTAATTAGCTGTCAACCCTACTGAAAGCTTTCGTAGCTATTTTTATTGGCTGGCTCAGTATCACGCTTATCCTGTTCTATTTGTTATACAATTCTCCACTCCCATAACCAAATATTGTGTGGGTCCTCACGACTGTGAGGCTCACTTCGCTTCATTTTTTGCCATATTGTGTTATGTAATCAGGATATCACCCCGAAACGATCGAACAGAATACTGGGAGAGAAACAGGGACAGAAAAGTTCGCCATTGTGCATCGAGTTTAGATTCGTACTCACCGTTGAAAGTGTATCAGGAGACGTAATGATAAGCCTCAGTATGCTCGCCTGCGTAACCTGATGGTATTCGGCCTAAATGCAGATCGCGGAACGTTTTTATTTTCGCGATTTTATGCTAGTCCTCAATAAAATTGAATATCAGAAGCTAATTACAAATCCCTTGAATGGCGTTACCACTTCCCTCTAACACAGGTCCGTATCGAGGACAATATTGCGATAACCGAAACAGGAAACGAACTGCTCACCGATGTGCCTCGAACAGTGGAGGAAATTGAAAAGTGGATGGCCTCACCGAAGGATACTCGTTTTTAACCTCTTCCGTTCAGTACTTGCTGCATTGTTCCAACCGGAAACGACTGATTTAGTGATAAATCGATTGAACATTCAGTTCCCTCTCCACTTCCATATCCGAAATGTTTAATCTGATTGTTTTTATTTTCCATTTTGTTCCGTATATTCCCATGCCCGTCCTTGCAACCGACAATCAGTGATTAACCCATTCGAATATTTCTATGGTTTGATTGCAAATTTTCGGAGAAAATGAGATCCTTATGCTTTATTTGCAGAAGTCTGTTCATTTGAGAAATCTTAAACAGAATAAATGCTAATTGACTAGGTGATACGATCGATTGAATTCCACCAATTCCCATGCGTTGTTGGTGAGGAGCCCCAAAATGGTGTTTTTATTATTTATTTATTGAATACATGATCATATGAACAATTTGCACGGTCAATCGAAGGTCTTCTATGCGATTCAAAAAGTGAGGAAATTTAAGTAGAATTTATTCTTCATCTCAGGCGAACTGAGGGCAAGTGGTCAATATAAGAATATGAATAAACAGTAACACCTCAATCGACTGCTGGCTGGAAACTAATCAACGAACGAGCATTGAGTCTCAAAAATTAGCGCGATTCCGATCCCCGGGAAATTGCAGACATTAGACGTATAATGGTAAAACAGCGTGACATATATATTTAACACCGGCTTGAGAACAGGCTTGGTGCCAACGCCACAACAATATTAACAATAACAATAACGGGAGGAGGTTGGGATACAGAACATAGGGAAAAATACTTAACTGTTAGAATGGAAGATCAAAAATAAATGGAATAACAATTTTTTGTGCTGTTTTTACGGGCACGGGGTTTCGACAGGCAGACCGTACATCATTCGCGCCACTGACTTGTATTCTGGGCCATATCTCTCAGCGTCTCTAACCAACGACAATACGCATCCCTTGGGCCCCAACCTGGAAGGCTGGCTGCACCAACCGAATATAATTGAAATGTAATCCTAGATTTTTTTGAAGACAGCATGCATTGCTGGTTTAAAAATTTGAGTCTGCAATCCAGCAGAATAAAACACGCACAAGGGCATCTAACCTCCCACGGTTGTGATCATTATTCAATGCCACTGTATTATCTGATTTTTGTGAGTGCATTGTCTCTCTGACTTTGGTCGGGCTTCTGCGACAAGTGGAAGACTACCGTGAAGGGTATTTTGACGGAATCTGCATTTCCTGATTTAGAATGCAAACTGAATGCACGACGGTCATTAAAGTTTCACCGGATGATCGAAAGGCATAATGTATTAGCGTCAAAATACGATCGGGAGGTTACCTAAATTATGAAGCCGGACTCCAGCCATCACCTTTACAAAATATAAAGGTGGATTTTTGGTTTAGTAGTGGTTTCGATTGCTCATCCAGTATGTTTAGAAAAAATCACGGCCTGTCAGACGAAACAATTATTCACACCTTAATAGAGCCCTCGTTTCTCTACTGTATTGATGTACTCATTCCTTTTGTGTACTTTTTTCCCTTTGATCTCTGGTCTCAATTTTTTGACCTGACAGGGGTAACTGCAACCTTCGTTCATCGTTCCACACGACACCACCCTGCCAGGTTTCACGTCATTGACGCCGATGGCTACTCGAGGTGCGCAGTTCGACGGCACTCGATCATCCGGGGAATGTTTACCGATCACACTTGATCAACACTCACCTTAGTGGATTCGTGTAGAACAAGAATACTTCTAGATAGGTCCTGGATGGAGCGTACACAATACCGCACTAACCCAACAAACGCACGGCAATCGGAGAACAAACGGATTGTTCCAATTCATGGA